TTATTATTATTATTATTATTATTATTATTATTATTATTATTACGGAATCCCCGACTTACATTAAGCGGTCGCTACTGAAACAGCTTGGTGTATATAATTTGTTTCACTTCAGCTACGGCATAAAATTGACTATAAAAGTGGCGTGGAAAGTATACATAGACTAGAGTGTAGTTAGATATACTCCTTTACAATGCTAAGGATGACAAAGAACCAAGATAAAAATACCTCAAAACAAAACACATGAACATAAGAAAACAAACATTAGTTATAATACAGTCCTATGGATCGTAAACAAAAGACAAAAATAACTTTACATACTACTACTACTAATAATAATAACAATAATAAGACAGAGGAGATCTTCCGACTGTCACAACGTCTCCCAGCCGTCATGCAGCAGTACCCTTTGTGTTTCTTAATCTGGAGTGTATTGTAATTTATTTATTTATTGATATTTCCCCGGGAAGTTAAGATATTTACATAGGAAGTTAAGATATTTACATAGGGGCTTAAAATATTTACATAGGAATTTAAGATATTTACATAAAAAATTATGATTTTTTTACATTTACAAAGAAGTGAATGATAGTAATACAAGGATAAAAGGAATACAGTGTCTAAATACGCTAGATCTAAAAGATGGACATAAACATTCGCATCCTTCTTCTGTAAATGTGTTCGGGCTTCTGCATTTGTAAATATCATTAAAGAGGATGGAGAAGAACTACGTGTCATCATCATTGGTTTAATTATTATATCAGTGGTTGTTCCATACCCCGAGGCGACAAGCACAACACCGGGGTGCCAGGAGGGCACCGTGGAATCTCTCTTGAGGTTAAATTTAGAAGAATGTCTCTCGATTTCTTTCTGGAGTTGAGGCATTTCCTGCGTGACTTATTGTCTGAGTGAGTGACCACTCACACATATGGCTGGTGACACAGCAATGACCATCCACACATATGGCTGGTGACGCAACAGTGACCATCCACACATATAGCTGGTGACACAGCAATGATCATCCACATATATGGCTGGTGACACAACAATGACCATCCACACATATGGCTGGTGACGCAACAGTGACCATCCACACATACAGCTGGTGACACAACAATGACCATCCACACATATGGCTGGTGACACAACAATGACCATCCACACATATGGCTGGTGACACAACAATGACCATCCACACATATAGCTGGTGACACAACAGTGACCATTCACACATATGGCTGGTGACACAACAGTGACCATCCACACATATGGCTGGTGACACAACAATGACCATCCACACATATGGCTGGTGACCATTCACACATATAGTTGGTGACGCAACGGTGACCATCCATACATCGCAGCTGGTGACGCAACAGTGACTATCCACGCATATGGTTACGGAAGGTGACCGCGACAGTGACCCCCCTCACACACACACACACACACACACACACACACACACACACACACACACACACACACACACACCATACACACACACACACACACACACACACACACACACACACACACACACACACACACACACACACACACACACCACACACACCACACACACACACACACACACACACACACACACACACACACACCACACACATACACACACACACACACACACACACACACACACACACACACCATACACACACACACACACACACATACACACACACACACACACACACCCACACACACACACACACACACACACACATACACATATACATACATATACACACATCCTTGACCACCGAAGGGTCAAGACGTACCTGGCGCTCCTCTCAGAGCAGCCAGGTCAACTGTTATGTTGGCCCATACCAACTCCCTCCCCTGAACCCTACTCCCAACCGGAATGTCAACAAGTTCACGCCAGAAGTTACTATTTCATTTAGGAAAGAAATGGAACCAGTGTCAAACAGAGGTGAACAGTGGTGAACAGTGCTTAAGTCAGTGAGAACAACTCAACAGTAACAGTGGTACCCAAGTTGACCTTTCACACAGTGAGGTCCCAGGTACCCAGTGATAACGGCCCGTGAGACCCAACTACCAGCGATGTGTTAATCCGTCTACGATAGGAAGGCCTGGAACCACACCTCACTCATACAACACCATCTGTGGGGGAATTACTACACCACGTGAGGCCCCTCATAACACCATATGTGAAGGAGTTACTACACACACACACACACACAGACACACACACACACACACACCCAGACACACACACAGACACACACACACACACACACACACACACACACACACACACACACACACACTCACACACTACATCCTTGACCACCAGAGAGTCAGGGCAGTACCTGGCGCTCTCTCAGAGCAGCCAGGTCAACTGTTATGTTGGCCCATACCAACTCCCTCCCCTGAACCCTACTCCCCACCGGAATATCAACAAGTTCACGCCAGAAGTTACTATTTCATTTAGGAAAGAAATGGAACCAGTGTCAAACAGAGGTGAACAGTGGTGAACAGTGCTTAAGTCAGTGAGAACAACTCAACAGTAACAGTGGTACCCAAGTTGACCTTTCACACAGTGAGGTCCCAGGTACCCAGTGATAACGGCCCGTGAAACCCAACTACCAGCGATGTGTTAATCCGTCTACGATAGGAAGGCCTGGAACCACACCTCACTCATATAACACCATCTGTGAGGGAATTACTACACCACGTGAAGCCCCTCATAACACCATATGTGAAGGAGTTACTACACCACGTGAGGCCCCTCATAACACCATCTGTGAGGGAATTACTGCACCACGTGAGGCCCCTCATAACACCATCTGTGAGGGAGTTACAACACCACGTGAGGCCCTACGCTTACCATGCAGAGAGTGCTACACACCACGTGAGGCCCTCATAACACCATCTGAGGAATTACTACACCGTGAGGCCCCTCATAACACCATCTGTGAGGGGTACTACACCACGTGAGCCCCTCACTTACCATCTGTGAGGAATTACTACACCACGTGAGGCCTCATAACACCATCTGTGAGGGAATTACTACACCACGTGAGGCCCCTCATAACACCATCTGTGAGGGAACTACTACACCACGTGAGGTTCCTCCTAACACCATCTGGGAGGGAGTTACTACACTACGTGTTTGCTGTTCAACACCTGCATTAATCTGTATGTTCACTGTATGTTCCTTCACCTTTCTCTAATGAAGGCTTTTGTTAAACCACCAATGTATGTAATAAGTCATTTATGCCCAATGTATATTTTCAGCCTTCGGGCTGCAGAACTTTTTCAATAAACCGTTAATTATTATTATTATTATTATTATTGCCATACACACCCACACACACATACACACACACACACACACACACACACACACACACACACACACACACACACACACACACACACACACACCACACACACACACACACACACACACACACACACACACACACACACACACACACACACACACACACACACACACACACACACACACACACACACACACACACACACACACAGACACACACACACACACACCACACACACACACACACACACACCACACACACTCACCACACACACACACACACACACACACACACACACACACACACACACACACACACATAGGTGGTGTTGTAATAGACTCCACCATAATAGCAGCCTTCCGTCTCTCTGTCCTGCTAAGAATGTCAACTATCTCCTCACCTCAATATAACTGTAGTACATCTATCAAGTTCTAATTGAAATTATTTACCAACTCCGATGCAAGAGTTAAATACTTGCTAGGTATTTTCTAACTCTTGTTCTCATGAAATTACTTAAACAATTCTAGTAAATGTCAAAACACAGTTACGATATCTCTCAAAAAGTGTGAAAATTTATAAGTAACACAGTAGCTATTACAAACGTTGTAAACAAATTTACTTCCGCACTTCTAACAATTCTTAAAAAAAAATATAAGTGCATTACATGTGTCAAACTGCTAACAACCTACAATGGCTCTTATCAGGTGTCAATAATGTAACAAGGTCACGGCAAGAATGTACTCCGTAACGTTGTTATTTACTTGGTTGTACTAAACGAGTATGGTTTAGATCATTCCCGCACATTTGTACAAAAAATTCAGAGAGAAGGAAACATTTGATTTATTCTCTGTGCATGGCGCACTGGCACTTGAGAGCCTTCATGTAGCGTTGAGGGAATTTTTCCTTTTGGTTCATCCGTTTCAGGACGAGTCCTCACCTCGTCACCAGAATGGAATCTCATCCCACCTAGGTGCTCTTTCATGGGTCTTAACCTCATCATCACACTGTAACTGTTTGCTTAAATGCTTCTTTAAATATATACTTAGTCTAGAGATGATGAAACTGAAAGCCATTGGGAAGAAAGATCGAAAACCGTACTAGTGACTCTAGAAGATAGCTTCCTCCCTACAGTGAAGACCTAATCCTGTCGCGATATTTTTGTCCTGACCACTAAAGGAACTACCACGTGGTCACAGACTCTACCTGGTGACGGGGTGAAGACTTATCCCAGATACGGTTCATATTGATGATGATTCCCTCTTCACCGCAGGCTATCTGGTGTTGGGAGAAGAGGGGGCGGAAGAGCTGTATTGTATGGGAAGGTTGTGGGGAGAAATAACATAAGTTCGGTGTTCCTGGTCTTACAACTTTGATTACTGTTAACAAAAGACTGGGAATACCTTGACCTACTCTCTCGCTGTACTGCTCTATAGCTTACATAAACCAAGTTGTAGTATCCGCAGGACGACCCTAACCTTTCACTGGTTAAATATTACATTTTACTTTATTTTATTGTGCTGTGTTTTACTGTAATTTAATGTATTGTGCTTTACTGTAAAGTATTGTATTGTGTTTTACTGTAATGTATCATACTGTAAGATATTATTTTTTACTGCATTTTTTTCAACTGGAAAATTACAGTAAGGTTTGTAAAGCCCTTGTACTCTCCCGCCACAGACGTGTCACCAGGGCCGGGCACCTACCTGACGACTGGCCAAGACTACGGAAGGTTCCCCCGCGGCTCTGAGGCACTGGCCCGACCCCCAGTCACCCACACCCTTAACACCCGCTTCACCCACCACCTGGCTTCTGCTGGTATGTTCAGGAACCACTCCCTCAACCAGTAGGTGAATCAACACCACACTCAACTAGAAAGTGGCACTCAAGCACCACCATCAACCAAGAGGTGGCACTCAAGCACCAACTCAAACTTCAGGAATCTCTAACTTAAACAGTATGTGACGCTCAACCACCACCTACAACGTCTCTCTACAGTAAACAAGTGGATTTCATTTAAGAACGATCCCCCACGCGATCCTTCACCTAGCAGCTGAAGCTCAAGCACCACCTGTATGTTCAGGTAACCTTTATTCAATTAGGTGACCTCCCCCATCAACACTACCACCTAGAAGCTGAAAAACCGGTCCCCATAATCAGTTATGGTGACGTTTACCTTCAAGCAGGCACTAAAATACCACCCCTTAACGTGAGGATAATAACTGTTTCCAAACTTCTAGGTGACGCTCACCACCAGTCTGTTGGCGGGTGAATCTACAACCAGCTGTCATTGAGAAGGTCAACTCCCTGTGAGTCACTATTTTGAAGCATCTTCTATAATTAATCACAAAAAAACTAATAAAAATATAGAAAAATATATAAATACTTAAATAATTGGTTAAATAAACACTAAGGATATATAATTGAATTAAATTAATTAAAAACAAATTAATAATAATATAGAGATAAAATGATCCATTATTTAGGAAAAAACTCACCCAGGCACTGTTAACCACGTACTCCATCCTTCAGTAATGTCAACGTTATATCGCCATCGTAGTTTATCATGTGTAAATAAAAACAAACAGCTATTGGGGTTTTATTTTTTCACCTGAGTCATGAGTGTTTTGTTGTCTGATGGTTCACTGGTCTGAATGTTTAACCAAACCTAACCAAACCTAACCTAACCTAACCTAACCTAACCTAACCTAACCTAACCTAACCTAACCTAAGCGAACATAAACTAAATTAACTTAACCTAATCTGATTTGACTCCACATAAACTAGTTTAACTTAAGCTAAGCTGATATTACAGTATGTAACACAACGCAAACTAAATCAACATAATTTAACGTAACCTGATATAACAAAGCATCAGCTAAATTCAAGTAACCAAACCAAGCCAAACTCAAGTTAAACCTTACCTTATCAGACTTAATTAAACCCAAACGAACTCTCGAGCCAATGAGTCATCGGGACATAAAAGGTGATGTCGTTATACCCTCATGAGGTGAATAAGACCGCCGGATGTCAGTTGACGCCGCAGCTACACTGACGCCACAGTTTACATCAAACCTGATGGCAGCTGAGGAGTTATGTACTGTACTGTAAGTCTGTGTAAGTAACTTTCTTCACCAAGGTTGTCTTAAATACTTTATTTTTATTTATTTTATTTTTTTTTTTTTCAACTGGCAAGCCCACCCGCGCACAGGTCACTCACGCACATCGGGGCCTGGGGGCGAAAATGTAATAATAATAATAATAATAATAATAATAATTTATAGTAAATAGAATTTATAATAAAAATAAAAAAAATAAAAAATAATAATGGTAATAATAATAATATATCAACTCTGTAATAACAATAATAATAATAATAATAATAATAATAATTATCATTATAATAAAAGTGAGAAACAATATATGTATGTTGTGCTGTCAAGTAAGAGAAACAATTGAGACTCTGCAATTATGTGTAAATGAAGCAGGAAGTAAGATCAGCAATTTTCGTGATGCCATATGGCAGCAGGGTCTACCATTAGACAACACATTATGCTTCCAATATCTTCCCAGGAGGTAGTACCTCCCTGTTTGGTAGCTGTCTACTACCTACTACAAGTTGCAATAATAGTCGTAAATCATGTGCCGGTTATGGTGAAGGATCTAAGTAATAAATTTTCAATACTATTATAAAATAAAATAAACAAGAAGTGGAAAAAAATGAGATATTTTAGAAATTATCTTTTCTTATAACGGCATTGTACTAATTTCTTTACTCCTAAGGTAATATATATATATATATATATATATATATATATATATATATATATATATATATATATATATATATATATATATATATATATGTGTGTGTGTGTGTGTGAAAATCAATTTCATCTTACTATGATCAAATGCTGTTTGTTAGTTTGTACAAATTTTCTAAGTGATTAGGAAAACAAGTAATATATAAATAGCAGGAATTCCTCAGAAAAAGCGCCAAACGTTATACAGGGGTAAGTGTTGACTGTATTGACGGTCTCAGTGAAACGTTTCCTAAATACTTCAAGATACTTAAGAATTCTTGGTAAAAATTTATTAGGGATTACTGAGGTTGTGGCGTGAGATCATAGACCAGTAAGAGCCCTTTCTCTCGCCCACTCTCGTGACGCCATGCATATAT